TATTGTTCTTTAATTTAGCCGGAATAGCAAGCTGCTTTCGATCATCTGTAGGGATTAGATTGAAAGACGAATCAGAGTAAAACGTATGTCGTTTGAAAAACTCGCTCAATTCATTTCTCTCCGCTTACTATCAAGAGAATCCACGATAATAACTGCGTGACTACGAAAACCAATGAATTGTCAGAATGCACTCCGATATTTTATCGCGAAAATAATTGTTTATTTATTTATTCATTTTTCTTTAGCAGGGAAGTAGAACGAGATAACGTTGCGCGGTAATGCAGGAACCTACCTTTTCGAATGGTAATGCAAGTTATCCAACGAGCAAAGAGTCTCCCGAGAATTTCACCTGAGGGCGCGTCCATCTCTCGCCGCCGTCACGTTGCTTTGTCGCGCGTCCCGCTGACGCCTGCGTTTCATAGTAGAAAGGATTTGTAATATCGCTAAAATTGGTATTGCAGACGGAGGTTTACGAAGATTGTGGCTCATACCTAGCCGGCAATGCGAACCGACGCGACGTTTCGATCAAGAGTCGGGTGGCGATCGAATGTAATTCATCTCACTTTCTGCATAAAGAGGATCCTCCAGCCGTCTCTTTTACCGCCACGGTCAAATGTAGCTTTTGCGCTTGTAATTCTTATTTGTATTAGCTTTTGTGCACAAAATAATACCGGAATAAGTTGCGGACCGCATAGCAGAACATTTTCATACTTAAAACACTCAGTTCAGAAGTCTAAAAGAAAAAAAGATTGGTATTTGAAGGTTTCACTTCGTAGTTCCAACTAAATTTGAGAAGTTGGCTTTATAAAATTGCAAAATTCTTGCACACGATTAAAGCACGCACGAAGACAAAACCAGGGACGGTCAACTTTATAGAAAAAAACGAATAGAAATTAAAAACATCACTTTATAAAGGATTGAGGTTACCTAATTGATTGAGGTTAGGTAACCTCAATCCTTTATAAAGTGATGTTTCTATTCGTTTCATTTATATAAAGTTGACTGTCCCTGGTTTTGTCTTCGTGCGTGCTTTAATCGTGTGGAAGAATTTTGCAATTTTATAAGGCCAATTTCAACTTTAGTTGGAACTACAAATAGAAACTTTCAAATACCAATATCTTTTTTATTGCACTCCTGAACTGAGTGTTTTAAGTATAAAAATGTTCTGCCGTGCGGTCCGCAACTTATCCTGATACTATTTTGTGCGCAAAAGCTAATAAAAAGAATTACAAGCGCAAAAACTATATATTTAACTGTGTCGGTAAAACAGACGACTTTAGGATCCTCTTAAATCCGTCGTATCCTCTTTGTCACTTTGAAAATTATTACTTCAGCCAAACTGGCCGTTCTGGGCGATCGCGAGAAGCTTTTTCACGCGTGGCGCAGGTCGATGGATACGAGGACGCGATCGTTTCGCCACGGGAGATCCCTGGGAGAGCGCGAGGATATTTGCTAATTTGGCTCCTTTGAGTTAGCCCGATGATCGTGCAAGCCCCGGCGAACAACCCCCGCCAGTCGAGCCGCTTCAGTTAGTTCGAGGAGAATTACACGGCAGAATTATCGATACCGCTCTTACAAATGAGAGACGAGAGGTCTTCACGCTGTTACGTGGACCAATGGGCCCTTCGGCGCCAATGATAATCCTGTTTAAATTAATGGAATGTAATCAGATTACATTAGATTACATGCAATTTCAGTGTAAATTAATAAGACTCTTATTTACTTACGTTGAAATTGCGTGTAATCCGTTCATATTCTATGTAATATTTTAAACAGGGCGATTAGGAGTGAAACAATTGTCAGAATCACACGGGTCCTGAATGCGTCCAAGGATACATCCACGTTGAATCGGAAAATTTTTCGTCCAGTCAGCACACAATATTAATAACCCAGTCAGGAAAATGTTAGCAGATTCATCAGAAACCGCACACCAAAACCATAGCCAGATGTGCCCGCATTTGGCTTTGGTTTTGGCAACAGAGTCTGCAAAACATACGCTGTCAACAGCTTGCCGGCGGAAACCGGACAGGTCCAGTTATGTGATCAGATTTTGTTGTATTTCTGCTGACATGCTGGCAACATGTCGAATATATCAATTTCTGTATGCAATCTGCAGTCGTTCTGCCTTCAAAATTTGTAGTGGGCATTTGACGAAATCTGTTCTGGCGGCTATCTGGGACAATATGTTTTGTAAATATTCCATAAATACTGTGTGCTGTCTGAGTAACGAATGACCGAAATTACGGCGTAAGTATATTGAGATTGTGAGATGTCCCGTTAAAAAAGTAACGCCGCGTTTCAATCGATATCGCCTTTTTAGCCTCGCGAAGATCAGAATCGAGAGGCACTCCACGATTTTCCAGAGCCATCGACGCCTCGTGGACGATCCGCACGGAGGGAAAACGATCGATTGCTGGTGGAGATCGCGCGAGCCGGGATCTCCGTGCCTCGTGGATAGCCGATCCCGCGCGCGCGACCGAGGCGGAATCTAGTCTACACGCGTAATCACGCATTATCGCATGCGTGTTTACATTTACGGGCGCGTGCACGTTCGCGCTTTCGCGCGCGCACCTGTAAAGGGCCATCGGCGCCACGCGGAAATCCGGATTCGCGTGCACACACCGGCAGTGTGCGCACACGCACACGCGTAAGGGGAGATTTTGTACGGCCGGTGCCAGATTGATTTGGTTTACCTAAACCGCTATCCCGTCCCTCGTGGAAATCAGAGAGAGAGAGAGAGAGAGAGAGAAGGAGGGTGCCGTGGATACCGCCCTGAATTTTCCGCCGGCAAGTCGCGGCGAGGAAGGGTGTTTACTCAAGACACGACAATTCATTACGTAATTGAATTGAATGAGCCCTCTCCTTCGCTCCGCGTCGCCCACCCCCTTCGGAAGCGTTCGGCTCGAACGTGTACGCGTGCGGATGCTCAGGCACGCGTGTGCGTGGCCTACGCGAGCCGAGGGGGTGGACCGGGATTCAGAGGTGGATTAAGGGCTGAGTGGGGCCCCGGAGAGCGACGTAAGCCCTGCGCGAAGGTGAGATTCTCCAAGGTGTCGGTGAGAACGGCTTTCTTGAATCGAAGCTACTCGAGAATATTCTTTCAATTTGCAGATATGGACGAGAGCTTGTGGAAAAGCCCTTTAGAGCCCGTGCGTAACTGACGTTTAAATCGTCGTCTAGCAACGAACGATACAACGATTCCACGAGGGGGCCGTTGGTCGCATGAAATATCGGTGATAAAATTGTAAATACTCTACAGCTTTTGCATATGAATTGTCCGATCTCGCTGATAACTTAATCGCGATCGTTGAGATATAAATTGAAGACGCTCTCTGTAATAGTTTAATTTCCTTTAGAGGCTTCTCGCTGCAGATCGGTTGGAGGCGCGACCGGATCTCGGATGATTCGGGATTTCGCTACGTCCCTGGTGGGACACCGTAGCCCCCGTAGCCCCCTCGTTCGCATCGCGCGGCGGCGGCGGCGGCGGCGGCGTCTGCACGCCTCTTCTCCGAGGCCGGGGAGAAGGCTGGGACCGACCGGAGGGGCTGGTAGCGAGAGCGACCGAATTAAACGATTAGTTAAACTGATTTCGAGTTAG